TGGCCATGGGTTGGTTGGTTTTTATTTCATTCCCTAATTTTTGATGAGACAGACCTCCCAGTGGTTACAATAGGAGTCTGGATCCTTTTTTGCATAAATCCATGTACTGAACTGTTCTTCAGCTCTCTGCTGTAAACTTATCTAAAGAGAGGAATGCTGGTGACAGTGCGAAATATATCACCACTTGCACCCTGCTACAAGGTGGAGAGATCCCTATGACTAATAGCTAATGTCTAGGGACATTATTAAGTGAAATTTGGGGATTTCATTGCACTGGATTTTCTATCTTTAAAATTTATTCAAGATGGTGACTATCAGTGCAGTCAAGTCAAGCACAGATAAATTTCAAAAGCTGCAAGTGATGAATTCTGAGCAGTCGGGCAAGGATATTCCAGAGATTCACCCCTTTCCTCTCTTCTGAGCTCCTTATCAGAGTAATGAAAGCTCTTGGGAACTTCTTTGATCTTATACCTACAGGGTCAGAAAGAGACAGCACTGGAATTTTGCTGGTAGCAGAGGAGATGTGTTAAATAGTCAGAAAGTGAAAAAAAAAAAAAAAAACCAAACAAAAAAACCAACCAAAAAAACCCCCAAACATAACCTTAAGTTAATATCCATATCTTTAAACATAAAGGTACGTAGAAATAGCTTCACGGCAAGAAACATTTAACCTAGCCATTCTCTTGTCGATATCTATCACAACCACCAGCAGCTTTGATGTTTTCCTTGTATTCTTACAACCTTCTCCTGGGTTTCTTGTCTCTAAGCTTCATGGTGCGCTTAAGAGCAGTTATATAGGAGTTACTTCTTACCCATGCATAAATTCTTCTGTGCTGTTCTGATGGATTACAAATGTTTCTCAATGTTCTCCTACAATCACCCGTGGCTGCCTATTTCATTTCATTGCTTTTATGCCAGCACTGGGAGTGGTTGGTAGGGACTGCCGCTGTTCCAATTCTCTAGGCAGAATTCAAGCATGCAGTTTATTCCAAATGTAGTATTTCAATAAACTTGTAAAGTTTGCACTGCACTCTAAAATTTTATCTATTTAATTCACTCATACAAGGAGTAAGACGCTGTAAAAGTTGTGAAGTCAACACAGAGAGCACCTCTGCGTCTGGCTTCTGTTGAAATGATGATTTTATTCTGACTCTATTCTGATTCTATCCTACAGTCTGAAGAATTAGATCTGAGTGACTGAAATGAAAAAGGCTTGAATTTTTTTTCATTTTAGTACGGTTATTCTGACTAATTTTATATCCTGAATTTAAAGTTGTAAACCAGGGCATCGTCCCACTAATGTAGGACCTAAACACACCGGGGCAGGAGATGTTCCATGATCAAGGGAAATTTAAATAGGTTATTCCTTAATGAGTTTTACTCAATAATAAATTCTTTTCTGTTGCCTTGGGGATATTTTCTGTAAAGATTAACACAAATGTTTTTTATGAAATTATTTTGAAAATGGATCAAGGTGGTGTCAGGTCTCTCAAGGGGAGAGGACGGAGGCTGGCACCAGGGCTTGAGAGGATCAAGAGAGTTGCTGAACCTGTGGTAGGCCTGAGATGTTGACTCTCTTAGGCAATACCCAAGCCCCGCCTCCTCCACTTTTATAAAACCTCTTCTGCACCTATTAAGAGAGCCGTAAGTCAGTTTTAAAGACCACGGTGACCTTTTCCACAGGGGATTAGCTAATTATGTGTATTTTCAATTGCATTAATGGAAACTCAAATCTTCGCTGCTTACAAAGGTTGCAGTTCGTCTGTTGATGAGGAAAATGTGGAAAATTACCCTCATTCACTCACAACCAGTAAAACTAACAAGCAGAACGATATGTTAACACAGACTTATTTCATCTAGACTGCCCAAACTGCTGTGCAGTATAATGTATATGCTAATGAACAGTAATTTACCGCTAAAGAAATTCAAGGAACAGGCCATTTTTCTAGTTTATGTACAGACACCACCAGTGGGTCCCATTATTAATTGGTGGTGCAGGATACTAACAATACAAATACTGGGCATGCCAGTTAAGCTGATTCTACCCAAATAATAGGCTTAATAAATTGATACACAATTTTCTTAATTCAGAATTAACATTTTCTTTCTTCTAGTGAAATCTTGGACCAGTATGCCTTTAGTAAAAATGCAAATGAAGGCACTTTTCTGTAGGAAGTAAGGTGGTGAAACAGTGACAAAGCGTGGCTGGTAATTCCTCATTGCCAAAACCTGGAATTGATGTTGAATTGTAACAGACAATCTTTTTCCTTCCATGAGTTAAATTATAATAATGCTGACAATTTATATATGCTGAATATCTTCTTCCATAATTTAAGAAGAATTTTACAAGGGCAGGTAGGAGTAATAATCTTTCAGTGGGAAGGAGTCGAAGTTATCCAACATTGCTGTCAGCTCAGAATTGCTGGCCTCGGAGCCATTATTTAAAGAAAAATATTGAGTAGCCATTTGTCCAACTGGGTGCATTGAGTTGAGTAGTTCTGCATAGAGTTGTAAACACCAATACTTGCATAAAATATACATAAGGAAAGAGTCTTTGATAATTCTAGACCCCTATGGATGATGTTAGCATCTCGCTTCCCTAGCCCACCTTTACAAAAAAGCTCTATGTACCAGATAAGGTAACTCTAAGCCAGATTTAAAGATCACAAGGACCTCTTCCATGGAGAAGCCTTTAAATATTGAACTTAACGGGGCAACAGAACAGGAAGAAACAAGACTAGATCCTAGTGCAATGCACGAACCTGGAGTAGTTCTGGTGAAAAAAACATAACCTCATAATTCTCAGATGCATGAAAGCATTTCGGCAAGAGTCAAAAAGCAGCCAGCCTCAGGCAGTGAGGTATTTTAAAAAACTTTGATTATGTCCTCTCCTGTGAGATTTCTTTGGTATTTAATAACTTACAAGAAATGGTCAGTTTTGTCATGTTTTGTTCACTTGTTTCCAACTGCACTGGTGAAAACTGAAAAATTAAAACATAACATTGGATTTCTACTTCAGGGTTTTATTTAGCTGCCCATGCCACAAAGATTCACATATGTTGTTCTAACACAAAATGTAGAATCAAAATTGTTGGAAACTAAATTATGTGTGTCAGGTGAACCAAAGTTTTAAATCAGTTACAACAGAGACAACTTAGAAGAAGAAAAAAAATCAGCATTCCTGTTGCATAATAAGATATAGTAATCATAACAGTTGCCATAAATGTTATTTACAGGACTGGTGTGAGACCCAGGTATTCACTTAAAAGGTAGACAATCAATCTCTCATGATTATTTTCAAAATTTATAAATATGAAATTATTTGTTGGAGAAGTGGCTCACACCTGATTAATCTGAAGACAGAAGTAAATATAGAAAGCCATGAAGCTCCTGGCTACAGAAACAACTCTGATGATTTGCAGATGGTTTAACACCTTAGATTTCTGTAGCAGAAGTCTTCCAACAAGAACTAACTTAATAACATATATTGTGAATAGATTGCTCTCATCTGAGAGCAAAGTGCTTTTAAAGCTATTATCTTACAATCTTTTATTTTACATTTAAACATCTCATATTTGTATTCTGATTGCAAACACATACATGAAAAAAAGAAGTCTAAAAGTCAAAAGGTATTTCAGCTGTAATTCTCATTGGGAAGAACAGGGAAGAGCTTAAAAAAACCCCAAGAGCATTGCCAAAAACATTCAAATAAGTTCTCAGCTAGAGTAGGAGGCAACGCCATTTAAATGACAAGTTTTTTGAAAGCTCAGAGATAACAGACCATCACCTATGTTCAGACAGGGTGACTAGAGAAATCTTTCATTCAATGCCCCTCATATTCTATGAAAATATTTTAGATGGAATTGTACCAGAAAGCTTTCAAGATCAGCTGAACAGATTTTTTTGCACACATAAACAGACACAGGCCATACAAAAAAAGAATATCAGCATGCTTTTACCAAGGCAAGAGCCAATAATTTAATTCTGAGTTTAGGTAATTGAAGTCCATTTTCCTTCTCTGCTCCTGATGGGAGTTCTACACAGTAAGGAGAGGCTCTACGAGTCTGCTCTATCCTCTTGATTACATTTATTAGGAAGAAAACAATAAAGGGAGTGTTTACATTATTGTATAGGTCACCCCCCTCACACAGCACTTACCTGCATATCACAGTTTGCAGAACTGAGTTTTGCAGATCTCGGCTTGCTGGAAACATCAAATTTGACCCCATCTGTGGAAATATCACTCATTGGGCAAGGGATAGAATAGAAGTAAGAATTTGTTTCTGAAATCATCTAAGCAAAATAGGCATAAATATTTTTGAATACATAAAATATATTGGAAATGTAGTTACACAAAGAAACATTAATGACTGCTAAATATAGGTGCAAAGTATACTAATAGCCAAGCTCCAACTCAAAGAACACTTAGCTGCATTTCATGTAATTATGAAATAGATAGATATATGGTTTCTCTAAAATAATGAAACAAAGAGGATAAAAATCAGTCAAAGACTGCTAAATTCCTCTGGCACAGACAGTCCTTCAGACAAACTGCTGGTGGAGTTTTCCCAGGAAGTATTTCCTGCTCAAAGGCTGTCCCCATAATTACTGTCAGAGGCAGGTCAGTGGGCAAAATAAGTGTTTTTTCACTGGTAGAGTTGTCAATCATATTTTGGTTTTTCCATACTTAAAAAGCAATGTGGTACTGCCATCAACGGGAGTTAAGAAATACCAGGAAAAGGCGTTTTTTGGGTAGAAACTATGTTGTACAACTGTGTATCTAGGCCTCTGTCAGCTTGGGCAGGATCAGTATCTATACCTGGAAATTCAGAGTGTATATAAAATTTGTCCAGAAACATAAAGGTTGCCTTTGCATGCAAAAGCACCAAAACATCCAAGCTTCTTCCGTGATGAATTAAGTCTGAATCTTCCCTCGCATATTTCTAACAAAGGTAGGCAAATCCTTACCTTTTTTTTTTTTTTTAAAATGTAATTTTTAGGACTATCAGGAAGCTTCTAATTTGGAGCAGTTTGTGACTCGCTTCCTTTTGAAGGAAACACTGAACCAGCTTCAGTCTCTCCAGAGCTCCCTGGAGTGTGCCATGGAAACCACAGAGGAGCAGAGCCGGCAGGAGAGGTGAGCAAAATTTGTGCCCAGCCGCAGTGAGGGGAGTGAGGAGCAGGGTCACCATGAACCTCCAGCGCCATTTTACATTCCACTCAGCAACCTGAGGAAAGGAGTAACGGGACGTCCTGGGTTGAGAGACACAGGACTAACTTTTCTTCTAGTGCTGGGGAAAAGCGCACTCTTAGAAGACTCTAGTGTTTGAATTTGTGAAAATATTTACTTTATAGCTATCCAGGCTCTGTGGGATTCAAGGTCTTAGTGTTTTCGAGCCTTGCCAGGTGCAGGGACAAGGAGGAGCAAGGCCTGGGCGTTTGACCCAGGCTGGCCAACAGGATTATTTCATTCCATGAACGTCACATTCAATACAAATTAGAAAAGTTTGCTGTGTAGCTCTCTCCCCCTTGATGGTGGTGGGTCCAGACAACTCCTTGCCCTGGTGCCGGACCCCTGAGGCCTTCCCTTCCTCCTGAAGCCATTGCGCTGGCAGTGTCCGCCATTTGCTGCCCCTGCTGGGAGTGCACAGCCCCCTGCTGATAGAATTGGCTGAGTGTAATTCCTATATATCTTATATCAGTATCGGGATTAATACTGGTTCTTTAGTATTATTGTTAATTATTTAGTCTTATTCTATTAAATCTATTTATATTTCAACTCTTGTGTTTCTTTGTGTTCCCCGATTCCCCTTTCCAGGTGGGGAGGACTCATCAGGTGGTAGAATAATTGTCTAAACGACAATAGATTGTTATGGGTTTTCTCAAACCTAACATGGGAGAAATACGGATACACTTTTTATTCCACATATGAACTCACTGATAGTTTTCCTGAAGTTGCATACAAGCAGGTTCCAATCTGATCCTGTGGTGGGCTGCATGTAGGAGGAGTATTTTGTTACATCCTAGGCCCTGCTCCTTTGACTTCTTTTTAAATCCATCATCTATTTAGTATCAAATGCAGAAGCCAGACCACTGTGATGTGAAGAGCTCTGAAATTACTAAGACCATTGACTGTCTCCTTGTTTGTTGCTTCACTGGCTGCTTATGAATAGTGAAAATCTGGAAAATAATTCCGTAGTCTTAATAGGTATTTCTCCTTTTCTAATTCAAAAGGGAACGTGCAAGTGCATTTTGTGAGAGCAGAGAAAGGAGATTTCTCCCACATGTTTTACCTTATGAAGTCTCCTGTGTTTCTGTGCAGACAAGGCCCAACAAAACCAGAAGTGCTCTCCGTTCAATGGCCAGGAAAACGCTCAGCTCGAAGGCTTCAGAAGAACAGTCTGTTGCCAAGTAGCCCTCATTTTAACACAGGTATGGTATTTTACATTTTAAATGTATTTAAAACACCTGAATACACACACAGAGAAAAAATGTACATGTATCTTCCTCTCAAAAATTTAATTTAGACATGGTAACTCTCTCAAGCACTTTACTGACAGAAATCAATCTTCAATTGAATATAGAAAGTATTAGCTCAAGCTATAAGGATAATATTTAGCTATACATCTGAACGACAAAAAATAAATACATAATTATGGGGCAAATGGTGATATTGTTTTCAGGCTGTGAAAACAGCGTGTGTGGCTTGATTCAACATTTCTTAGGTAACATTTGTAGCCTGCAGACAAGAATGAAAAGGTGAAGGGTATAACTTATACAGAACCAAGGTCTCTGTCATGACTTAAATCCCAGCTGAGGGCAACAAACAAGAAACAGAAAGGAAACTGGAAAGAAAACAAACATTTAATTTATGATACCAAAAAATCTGAAACATCATTTTTGCTATGGAAAAAGCAAGAGGGTACTTCAGGAAACAGGATTCTTTGGAAGCATTGACATTAAGCATGAGGCTGCAAATCTCCAGGCTTAGGTATGTCTCTCAGAATCAGGGCATGCAGATGACTGAAACACCAAAGTATGCGATGGATCAAGTTCACTTCTTGACCGGTCATGCAGATCTCACCACTTGAAGCCATGTGCTTTCCTCTTCCTTTTTAACCCTCTTTTGAAGACCCTTCTGTCACTCACATTCATGACTCACTTTCTGCCGCTCCCTGAATGATGGTGTTCATTCAGCACAATGATGCAGGATGATATTTGGTCCCTCCCTGTGATCTACGGGTGTTCATAACAAGGAAGGTCACATACCCTTGTCACTGTGCTCCTAGTTCACAGAGTTCATATAGTCAAAATCATGCTTTCCTTTAGTTTCACCTAAAGGAACATTGAACTAGTTGCAGCACAATCTTTAATAAGCAAAATAAATTGCAAGTTAAGATGAACATTTCATTATAAAATAAATTAATACACTATGTTCCAGCATTTAGTAACATTTTCTAAATGTCCATTATTTATATTTTCCAAAGGTTGGACTGAGGAAGACAGCCAGTGGATGACCCAGATAAACAGACTCCAAAAGCTGATTGACAGGCTGGAAAAGAAGGTATGTATTTCTTTTCACCTGTTTGTTCTCTTACTTTCAGTAACGCAATCCTTAAACCACAAATGCTTTCAATGTCCCAGTCACAGTCTTTCCAATCAATGAGTGAAACTTCAACACCACCTAAGAGAGCTAATACTCATTAAATGTCTATATACTCCTTTCACCTTTTTCTTTCATGAAAGCCTTCCATGGTTTTCCCACAGTCCCCATCACCACAGGTCCAACTTTTCATGAAGAACTGGAATGTGACATTACTCTGTGACTGGAGGATGTTATTGTATTTAGTTATGCTTGTTTTGGGGAACATGGGACAAGCATCTCTTTTTAGGATCTGATTTTTTTCTCTTCCTCTCCAAACTTCCCCAGTAAAGCTTGACAGAAAGTTTTCTTTCTTCCGTCCCTGTCAGAGGATACTAATTTATAAAGATCAAAACACTTCCCTAATAAATACAGCTCAACCAAAAGCTGACGCAAATCCCACCATCCCACCTGGGAGCTCTGGCCCCCAGAGCCCTGAGACCGCCTGCGGTTCCCTCGGCAAAGCACAGCCCTCCGGGAGCCTGACAAATGACCCATCTGATCCAATGATCCCAACGCTTCCCAGGGCTTGTGAAAACCAAAGCAACATCTGCCTGTAGGGAAAATGTCTATTTCTTTTGTTTTCATTCAGATTTATTGCTACACTAGGTGGTAAAAGTTGGCTTGTGTCTATGTATGGTGACTGGTTTTTTTGCGTGGGTGAGAAGAAAGAAAAGTAGAAGAAAAAGTAAGGTTATAAATTCCTGTGATATACTCTAAAGTGTCCCTATTGAAGAACAGACAATTTCAGATAGGTGCTAAGGAGGTGGCCTGAATTCAGTGGATCTTATGACCTGGGGTATTTCTTCCTCCTGGTCCAGGAGAAGCAAGGTTTTCGGTTGAAGGGCTCTTGGACTCAGGAGTTGCTCCAGTCCTGATGCTACTGATGCTGCCCACCCCTGCAGGAGGTCAGCGCTCACCAGTGGCGAGGCTGTGCATGTCCTCCAAGGACATAGATCCACACACACCAGCACAGAATCTTCTAGGTTGGAAGGGACCTTAAAGATCATCTTGTCCAACCGTCAACCTAACTGACAAAAATAGACACCCACACAACAAACAAGGAGCATCATCACTAAACCATACCTCCCAGCACTTCATCAACCCGTCTTTTGAACACCTCCAGGGATGGTGCCTCAACCACCTCCCTGGGCAGCCCATTCCAATGCCTGATAACCCTTTCAGTGAAAAAATTTTTCCTAATATCCAGCCTGAACCTCCCCTGGGAATCTTCTAGGTTGGAAGGGACCTTAAAGATCATCTTGTCCAACCGTCAACCTAACTGACAAAAATAGACACCCACACAACAAACAAGGAGCATCATCACTAAACCATACCTCCCAGCACTTCATCAACCCGTCTTTTGAACACCTCCAGGGATGGTGCCTCAACCACCTCCCTGGGCAGCCCATTCCAATGCCTGATAACCCTTTCAGTGAAAAAATTTTTCCTAATATCCAAGCACGGGTGCCTTCACCAGCACCCACAAACGGACGGGCAGTATTCACAGAAACACGAACAGGCAACAGCCTGATCCTCTGCCTTCCTTCCAGCTGATCAGGATGGATGTTCCCCCGTGAACGTTATCACAGGCTTCAAGTCCATCTAGTATTTGTGGCTGGATCCATGCCCCTTATGTAAGCATCAACTCAGACCTTGGGTTCTGGCAGACAAGTGGCTCCTACTCGCCCTCTAGCCTAACTTGAGCAAATTATATATCTAGAAAATATTAAAGTAAGGGATTTAACAAGAAGACAGAATAAACAGTGGCGATCTGACACAGGGCTCAACAAGACAGGCACGCTGACCTCGCTCTGCCATTGCTCCCTTCCAAATGAACAAAACGCCCCTAATTCCTTTTTCACTTTGGTCCCAACTGGAGACCAAAATTTGGTCTTTCTGTTCTCTCAGCCTTATTACCGAGCAGCTGCATTACCAATGCAGTCAGCCCCAGTGCTGCTGGTCTTGCAAGACTCTGCTCCCAAAAGGGAGCCCAGTAGTCCCTTCGGTTACCCCTGAGGTCTGACAGTCTCTCGCATCGCTTCTCCTTACTCAGCTGTGAAATTCGGCCATTCCTTGTGGCACCGTCTGTAGCTTCTGCCACTCTGTTCCTTGAGGAGCTCAGCAGCTCCTCATGGTCTGCTCGGTCCATTAAGCCTCTGGCCAGGGCATACTCATCTGCCTGCACACACCAGCTTCCTCCCAGAGGGCTTTTCTGCATGAGAGAAGCAATTACACAGCAGTTGCCACCTTAATGACATTTTAGTGGCAACTTGATTTTTTTCTGAATAGCTACAAATTGGATTTTGAAATGTCAAAGTCTGTCATGAAATGTAACTCTCACTTTTGGTCCAGCTTTTACTCCCAGCTCTGCTTGGGAAGCAGCAGCTCCACAGCAACCTCCCGACACGGACTGATGGAAAAAGGAGTTAAAGAAAACTTAACATTTAAGTGAATGTTATTGAAAAAAGAAAAAGAAACCTGTCATATGGCAGTAATGCAATGTAAGCATTACAGAAAGCAGCCGCCTATTTTGTAGTAAATAAACTTACAACAAGGATGTTATAAAATGATGAAATCTGCTACAGATAAATGACAGAGAGCCTCCATTTGAAAAGGAGCTCAGTGCCAAAGGGAAACAGTGGCAGGGCAAAAATTAATAAAACATAGCAATTAAACAAACCTACTTTTGCCAATAGACAGACTATACCCACCTTTACCTAACTTTGCATCTGCTTGACTTTATATCTCATGGCCAGGTCTAACCGTAAGACACGAGAAGTTCATTTCTGCAGCTTCTCCAGGACCACCTCCTTTTATTGTTCTTCTCTCGGCACTTCTGGCCCCTGTGAACTAAAAAAACCATGCATGGCATGCAACTTAGAAACCATGAAACTCCTGGACATATAAAGTATCCTGAGATGTATCAAAAAACCTATGAGAAAAAGACTTTTGTATCAACTACATTCCCTCTTATCCTAATTTTCTTAGATCTTACATTTCATTACGGTAGGAAGAGCTCCCTGTGATCCATGTTTCAACAGCATCTTGCAAAACAGGGTCTGGGTCCTGATTGGGACAGGCATGTATTGCAAAGGGGATGTCAGTGCTTCTTAGGAGGAGACTTGTCAGTCTATCCACTCTGTTCCAAACCCAAGTCGAGAAAAGGCAAATTCAAGAAAAAGCAAAGCTGATCTCTTGAATGACCATGGACTTCAGACTGAAATGAATTAGAAACATCAAGTGGTGACCAAGTCATCCTTGTTCCCACCTGGGATGAGGCTGCTACGTATGCCATCTCTCAGTAGTAACTTAATCATTTTTAGCTCAGATGATGTTCCAGGTTAGCCCACCTCATCCAAACAAGTGTTGCATTTCAGCTTTCAGCAGCTGCTAAAGCTCTTCTTTTTTGACTTTGCCCTGAAGCAGATCAGGAGGATCACACAATCACACTAAGACACAATTTCAGAAGCCACCACTTCTCAGCTGAGGTGAGGTAGGACCGATACCTGAGCGCTCTTTCACCACTGATGAGGACTATATGCCAGTGCTCACACGCTCCAGGGTCACAGCAAGCTGCCTGAAGAAAATACCCTTTCCTTGCTACCATGAGAGAAAGCTTGCAGTACAACTCGAGTCATTCCTTTCCTCTCTTTTTTCATACTTATCCTGAGAAAAAATTTGCAAGAATCACAGAATCGCAGAATCTTAGTGGTTGGAAGGGACCTCTGAGATCATCGAGTCCAACCACAAAAAAAAAAAAAAAAACAAAACCAAACAAAAAAAAAAAAAAAAAAAAAACAAAACCAAACAAACAACAACAACAACAAAAAACCACAGAAAAAAAAAAAAAAAAACCAAACCAAACCAAACAAAAAAAAACAACAAAAAAACACACCACACCAAACACCACCAAAAACACCGCACCCACCAACTAAACCCCACACTCAACACCTCGCCATAAACCAATAACCTTGGGCACTAGAGCATGCCCTGAAGAGCCATGTCTATACGTTTCTTAAGTACCTCCAGGGATGGTGACTCCACCACCTCCCTGGGCAGGCTGTTCCAGTGCCTGACCACTCTCTCAGTAAAGTAATTCTTTCTAATATCTAATCTAAATCTCCCCTGCCACAACTTCAGACCATTTCCTCTGGTCTTGTCGTTCGTCCTTTGGGAGAAGAGGCCAACACCTGCCTCTCTACACCCTCCTTTCAGGGAGCTGTAGAGGGCAATGAGGTCTCCCCTCAGCCTCCTCTTCTCCAAACTAAACATGCCCAGTTCCCTCAGCCTCTCCTCGTAGGACTTGTTCTCCAGACCCCTCACCGGGGGGTGAGGGGCAGCTGCACAGCAGTTACTGAGTGCACCCCACGTCCCTCCTGCCTCGCTCTGCAGGTCCCCTCTTCATTGGAACTCTACCTGTGCACCTCTTGGTGCCTTTGCAGCGAGTAAACAGGATTTGTGCAGCAAAATGCCTGCTGCCTGAGGTTAATCACTCCTCGCAGAGCTGCAAGCAGAATAATTTTTTTCCGGTCTTTTGTTACACAAGAATTGTTTGCAACTAGAAGCGAAGCACCCCTAACAAGGAGTGCATTTTGCTTCAGCTGCTTATTGCAAATCGACCCGTCCTTTTTCAGGCACACGGGTATTTTTCAGAATATCCATACGGCACTGGGTTGGAGGGCACTGGCATGTAAGTGATAATTCGGTGTGCGTTTCTAGATGGTGAATCAATATCCCAGTTTGAAGCATAACAGAACCAATTTTCTGTTCTGTAATTTTACATCTCAGCCAGGCCTTTTCTAACTCTCTGAAATTAACAGCATATTGTGGAGAAAACTGCTCCTTCTCAGAGCGATAAGACCAATGTTTGTGCCACATGGCAAGGAATGGTGTGCAGGGAGGCCCTTGCTTATACTTATTGCTATAACAACCAAGGTCAGCCAATTTCATTATGTGCTCCCTTGGAGGGTTGGGAATGGAAAAACGTAGAGGGGTCACATCTGTGGGGAGGGCACAGGAGAGGTGACCCAAACCTGACCAACAGGGTATTCCATCCCATCTGCCCCATGCTCAGTGTAAAAGCTGAGGGATCAAAGGGTCAAGGCTTCTTCTTCGATGGCCGTCGTCCGAAGAGGACCCTGTCTGTTCATCTGGCTTTGATCCCGACCCATGTGTCCCTGACTCCAGAGCTGGAACCCAGTTCCCATCCATCCCTGAATCCAGTCTGGGACTTCCCCAGTGCCTGCTGGTGATGGGACTGTCATCCTGGGAGCTTGAGAGGGTTTTGTATATATTGGATCTATTTCATTATTTTATTCTTTTTTATTTTAATATTAATTCTTCATTAAAGTAGTTCAGTTCATTCTAAACTTCTAAATCTCCTTATCTCTTCCTTCTCCTCTCTTTTTGGGGGGGGAAGGGGAAGGGCCATCTGTCGGTCTGGTTTGGTAAATTTGGCTGAAGCCGCGACAATCACTGACTCACGAAGCGTGCATCCAGTTTGTGTTTTAGGCAGCCGTCCTGCTTGCTGCCTCAAAGATGCATCCGTGTGCTGCTGCCCAGTCTGCTCCCAGAAGCGAGTGCAGCAGCTCAGACACCTGACTGGGATCTTTTTCAATGCTAAAAAACAAGTCCCTTGCAACTATACTCCCTCCCCTCCCACCCCGAGAACTTTCTTCTGTATAAAGTTTTACGATAGCTGAGAGTTCATTTCAAGGGGGATGGAGCACTTCTCCTATGAGGACAGGCTGAGAGAGCTGGGATTGTTCAGCCTGGAGAAGAGTGGGCTCCAAGGAGACCTTAGAACAGCCTTCCAGTACCTGAAGGGGCTACAGGAGAGATGGGGAGGGACTCTGTCAGCAAGTGTAGCGATAGGACAAGGGGTAGTGGTTTTAAATTGAAAGAGAGAAGATTTAGATTAGATATCAGGAAAAAATTTTTTACTATGAGGGTGGTGAGGCACTGGAACAGGTTGCCCAGAGAAACTGTGGCTGCCCCATCCCTGGAGGGGTTCAAGACCAGTGGGATGGGGCTTGGAGCAACCTGGTCTGGTGGGAGGTGTCCCTGCCCAGGGCAGGGGGGTTGGAACTCGATCATCTTTTAGGTCCCTTCCAACTCTGACCATTCTTATGATTCAAATGACCATCCTTCCTCATCTTCATTGTCCACGTGACAATTTGAGAAGGCATCTCTCCTTTCTGAATTAACTCCAACATACATTTGTGAGCAAGCAGGTTGATTACAAATGAAAAATTAACTTGCTCAGCATTATAAATAAAACTTTACAGAACAGCCTATGTTGGATTTAACCTCTGAAACATGCAAGATTCTGCAAACAATGCTTGTGTTTGACTTGCAGCTAATAAAGAAGGGATTTAATTATAACTTCTGGAGATACAACAGAATCTAACTATGGGAATAGCTTTTCAAATCGGTAAGAACAGAACACAACTGTAGTATTGCCTCTTATATTTCTATTTTCTTTTCAACTGCCTGAAAGGACCTAAAGCTTGAGCCATTTGAAGAGGAAGTTTTGGAAGAAAATGCAAAATCTGTAAGTGTTTTTTAAGACAATGACTTTTGACATTTGATTTTCTATGCCAGCTACTGAGACATCAATCTCACTCGATCTCTTTTGTTAAAAGATAATAATAAAAAAATCACCATCCTCCCTTTTCCCAGTGATAAGAATCCATTACAGTCAGCAGAATACATTGTGCAACACACCAACACTTAGAATATGCGGGAGAAACTGTTCATTTTGGAGAAACTTTTATATTAATTTTTCCATTGTTTTCAAAGGATACAGTGAGCCAAAACCTCAGCTCACATAAGAAGTTAGAGATGACATTTATATGATTTACTGAATTTGGCAGCAGCGTTTATGGGGTGACAGCTTCTCAGCTCCCTACTGCCTAATGCTGCGTGCACACTTTAAATCATGGTTGTACAGCCAACCAGTCCCCTTCCCTCTCTTCCTCCCTCCCAAAATTCTATAGGAAGCCATACCAGGAAAGACGGGGGAGCATGTATTCTTAAGCAGTAATTGATATTACAACTTAGAAAACCAAAACCATAACCATAAATAAACTTACTTTTAATTAAGTTCATGTCCCAAGGTCAGTTTTCAAATACACTAGCATTACTAAACTCTAGGCTTTGAACCTAACACAATACAAATCACATACACAGGAAAAAATAGCCAAAATAGATGATCCATCAAATTCCTTATTAGATCACAGTAGTTGCATTAGATTTTTTTCTTGTTTTAAATGAGATTTTACAATATTGCTAGACAGGCTGCTTATAATGGAGGAATAATCCATGAGATAAGAGTATCAACAATCAAGGAAGAAACAAGTCAAAAAGCTGCACAAGAGAGGAAGTTGTATTAATTAAGAAGCACATGGTATTTCTTTATATATTTCATTAGTAAAACTGACAAACTTCAATGGATGAATCAATATGTAAACTACTTACATTAACTAAATGATAACCATAATAATTCAGGATAAATAGCATTTCTGTACTGCCAAGTATTTCCAAAACCCTGTTTATAAAGATTGTTCGTTTTTTGCAGAAAGGTGGAAGGAAAAAAAAAACCCCTCTCTGTGCATCATTTAACACAAGCTACCTTAGGCCTCTCATTCGGGTGTGAGTCAGAGCTCTGAGAGGCAAAAGACTACAAAAGCACCTCAAGGAAAGTAACACAGCAAATCCCTGCAATCTGCACTGGATGCCAGCTCAAACCTCACCCCTCCTTGCAGAATGATTAATCCAACGAAACACGCTTTCTTGTTGAATATTCCAAAGATAAACATTTCCTTTTTGCGCTCTTCTGAAAAGACTCAGCCAGGTTTCAGATGACTCTCAGGTTCTCTAAGGTCAACGCTAATTTTGGGTGTTTCCATTCTGTGCCTCAGCCTGAGGAGATATAAAAGCTACATTCAGGTGTTTCTACTTACCCACGCCAAAGCACTAAAAGAAAAATCACAAACTTAAAAAGTCGTGTGTTTTTTTTTCAGGGAGTGGGAGGTGTTGATGATTGTGATTTTTATTGTTTTATGATAGGCTTTTCAGAGTTTAAGGAATTCAGAGGATGATATGCCTGTAATATTGTCATGTTTTTCTATCAGCACATACTGATTGTTCAACGTCAAATGTCTGTGATAGAAGAAGGAGTGGAGGAATTCCGGCTTGCTTTGAAGCAGTACGTGGAATCCGCTTCTTCTCAGGGTGGTTGCTTGCAGTAAGTACCATGTTGTTGCCCCTGGGCTGAAGGAAGGAAGGAATGTAGTCTGATTTCTTGAATATCCTCCAAGTGGAGCTGGATTATTTACGAAGAGAGAACCTGTAGCAGCTTCTTTCCTGGCTGGTTATGTGTGTAAGACAAGGCTTTTCAAAAGACAACTGAAATCAGAAAGAGATGTCAAAGCGCATGGGCAGACTTTAAGGAGTATCTCAAAATAACAACGCAGGCTATCCCAAAGATGCTAAACAATCTTTTAAGATTTGTCAGCTCTGCAGGTCATCAGCTCACAGCTTCTGGATGCTCCTAGGCTGGCTGACACTCTTCATTGGAAAACTCATTTACCATCCTTCATTTGTGCTCACCTGGCAAGGGAGCAACTTACCAACTTGTTGGGCAGTTCTCTGTTTGGAAGCTTTGAAAATCTTCCCTTTAGAGAGTCAATCCCATAAAGAATAGGAAAAATTAAAATGCAAAATTTTCAGTAAAGCAGAATTAAATAATTAGAACTGAGTTAAGAATAAGTTTTAGTGACTCGCCACTGTATTGAATTTCTTCATTTAACATACTTGAGAAAATTGCTGCCATTCACACTACAGCCTATCATGAAATAAATATTTTTATGATGTGTACCCAATACAGGATCTTCCTACATCTTCAAAGGCTGCCGACCACATCCCTAACTTCTGAGCCTTGTTGTTATGAGATCATCACACCTAATGGTGATCGTATCAAGTAGAGTTCACACACAGACCAGTAAATATAAGTTAAGCTGGAAGAGAGTGGCCTTTTAGCAGGGGTTCACTTGGAAAGGCAGACTGATGAGGAAAATAAAATCTTCTTGTGGGCCGAGAGCTGGAAAAAAACAAGGAAGAGAAGCCCCCCAGCCCTCTTCCAAAACCAAACATCCAGCCAAACACTGTAGTGACTTTAAACATGTCAGGGGGAAGAGCTTACATGACTTCAGAATGCAATTTAACAAATGATGGCAAAAAATTACTTTCTTTCCCAAGTTTACAGGCATTTGGTGAGTCTGTAATGCCACCTACCGGTTGTTTTTCACTGCAGCTGTTTATGACTGACGTTTTTTTCCAACAGTTCTTGAAATTTTTGCTATTTTACAATGTACATTTGCATACAGCTAGAAAAAAACCACCATAAATCATATGAAATTTCTTATTACAGCATGAAATATAACCTGAGACCAGTTTTCAAGCACATCAGTAGTAAGATCAGCAATTTCACACTTGGATACTCAGAGAAATACACCTATATATTTTTTTGTGCTATACATCAAAACAGCAATTTGAGAGTACCCAAATGCCTAAGTCCCCTACGTGCTAGAAAGCCGTTACGTTCAGGACAATAAGTGGGATGAGTCTGTGCAGAGGATCAGCAGATATTCCCTGGGTCATTTTTCACCCATGATAAATTGTTAGCTGAATGACTTGAGGAGACAGGTAAATAATACCAAAAAAGTATTCTGTTAAAGCGTATCTGCAGCAGACATCAGCCTGTCTGTCTTTATACTCCATTGCTATTTGCTTCCAAAGCACGTAAACTCTGTGTCGCTGCCACTTCGATGCATCTCTCCTACAAAAGGATGACTTCTCACAGTGTCATTCTTCAATGAATCAGCACAAGGTCCTCTCCAAACTTGAACTGTTCTCTATGTGCAATAAGCTGTATTAGCTGATTTTCCCTGAACCACAGCAGTTGGATTAGTTTTCTGCAGTACTGCTTAGCATTTCAGATAAATTACGCTATTGGAGCAATATGAAAAATTAGTTTCTCAAGAGTCAAGGTGAAATATCAATAAATGAAAAGACATGAAAATACTCCATGAGTTTAAAAAAACAAACCTCAGATAATTCACAGTATATTTCCAGTATATTTCCCCAAATCACTTATTTGTTAAATTTATTATTTGGGGCGTTTAATTTGTTTGTTTTTCCAAAAATCACTGCATTTGGTTCATACTTATAAAAAATTTGGAATAAGATGTGTGTGTCCAGTTACTTTGTCATGGCTGATTAAATTAGTTCCATCCTTCAATCCTTAGTGTTTCCATACAGAAGCTTCCAAGTGATTCCCGCTTCATTGTTTATGAGTTCTGGGAGAACAGCAATGCCTGGAATAGGTAAGGGGTTTTTTCATGGGGGTGTTTGGGGTGGTTTTTTTTTGTCCTACAGAAAGTTTTGAAAGTTAGAGAGCAGATGAGTAGAAGGAGTGAATATAATTATACTTTAAATACTGCTAATCCATCCCTTGCTAAATATCTAACAGTTAACACCTCAGAACAATCCTTCAATCGCTAAAGACTAAAACATACTGAAAGATAGAAATAAAAATGTCAGAAAGACACAACTGGTTCAAACAGAACAGAAAATGCCTGAAATTGAGCAGAGGAAGGTGTATGGCATCAGATGTAGGGGAGCTGAGCAGAGACAAAAGAACAGGGAAGCAGCAACATTACCACACTTCAACCATGACAGTGAAAGCAAGGAATGAGGCAGGAGCTGCACCATCCAGCAACGCCCTCGAGCTTGCCAGCAGTCCTGGGGAGCTCTCCCGAAGCTTCCCAAATCCACATCAACAAAACCCCATCCGACAGATTCCTGGAATGTCCGTTTTGGGCCCAAAATAGAAATTTTAGTGATTAAAATCCTACCAGCCGAGTTCTAGCCTGCAGCAGACAGATGGGTAAGAAATTGAGTAGAGAGAAAAAGATCTTCCTTAACTGCTTTTACTATTAAAAGAAGCCCAAACAAAACCCCACAATCCTAAATCTGTAGGCAGAAACCATTCTGAAGGAAGACGGAGAAGTCTCTTGAAGCTGAGTTTCGTTCATTTTGAACAAAGCTCCAGCCCAGAGTTTACTTCCAGAAAGACTCGAGAACACTGGTAACACGTCAAGACACTTGGAACAAGACCTGCTGTACTGGGTCACAACCAGGAGATGAGCATCAGGGTAACAGTTAAGCCAGACAGAAGAAAAAAACGTGTTTAAAATAACATGCAAGAACTTCACAGCTTGTCTGCTCTCCTCTCCCACTGCCATCATTTTCTAAGTTTTGAAGCACTAAATCTCTGTTATGGCACTAATTGTAAAATGTCTGATGCTCATAAAAATGTTTAGGCCTTTTAAAAAGTTGATTCTTATTTTCCTTTTTTTTTTTTTTTCTTTTTTTTTTACAACTATTTAGCCACCTTCAGATGAATTACAGCAAGACATTCCAAAGAAGTAACGTGGACTTCTTGGAAACTCCAGAGCTCGTCACAACAATGCTAGTCCCTGGTAAATACCAAATTTTCACGTTCTTTTTGTTTATTGCATGTGAAGAGTTCTGCCATATTAGTGTGTTCCATATGTAGGACCACTGCAAAATATCACCCTTAAGTCAGATTTTCTTTGGGAAAGTACGAAGGAGAAAGAGACCTCAAACGTTTTTATTTTAAGCACAGAAATGTAAAGTGCATCAGCACAAATAAAACATTCAATGCTTTATTTTACATACTGGAAAGTTACACCAGTATACACTATTTAAGAAAATATCTGCAATAAACAATACTATTTGTGATTAGTAAAATACACCCTGTTTAAGATTTTCAGGCAAAAAGTTGCTTGTTAACAAAGACTTCAACATAATCATATTTACATTGACTGACACCAGTCTTAACTAATAATTGCTAGTTATTAGCCAATTTATTGTACATATTTTCTGCTATGTTAAAATGGATAAAAAACCAAACTACTTTGAAAATGCAAGGTGTTAATGATTCCAAATTACTATTTGTGATACAAACCGATGAGCATGCATCATCTTCTTTCTCAGAGAAATGATAGTTAAAAGAGACAGTGCAGGATGAAGCAAAGCAAGCATCAGCCCCATATTTTCAGAGAGACAGCAAAATTTTTATCTCGGGCAACACAGATCTATTACAATGAAACCCTATCTTCCCCTCTGTCTGAGACTAAATTTAAAATAATAAACCCCCATCTATTAGGAAAAAAAAAGAATTACATAGTCCTATACCTGGTGTTTCTCCTTAAAAGAAACCAGCCAAGAGGTTTTCAGACCTCATGAGCCTGATCCGAAAACACAATTATATGCCAGGGATTCCTGCAGTATCAGGAGATTGCACTTAATGAACCAAGAATCCCTTCAAATCGTGTATCTTATTGGGTAAATTGCTGGATTTAATGCAAACTTGGCTGTAGGAAACAAGGCAGCCTTTTCCCAAAGTTCTTTGTGCCCAAGAGCTCGGCTGGGTACGACCCAGGAGTGTTCACAGCTGAGGTACAATTAACATACAGTGAAATGTAAACATAATTTATAAATGCTTAAATATAGAAGGGCCTGAAACTGGATTCAAAGTGCTCATTAAAGCATGGGCTCTGCCTGCTAAGAAGGATTTCAGTCTGCAGAGCTCTATCCTGGCAGACAGTTGCCATGGAAACAGCATTTCT